TTCCACATCACAAAACAGCTAATGGAAGATGATGTGTGCCATCAAACATGCATGATTGATGCACTCACTCAAGAAGTATTAGAGGATGTGTACTTTGGACCAACACGGAAAGTTCGAGAACATGATGAATGGGACGCTGCCATTCATAAACATCTTGAAATGGAAGATCAGGAGCTAACCTTAAATACTGATTTGCAAGAAACTATGGAAACACTGAATATTCCTCCAAACCTTCAAGAGTCAGGTAATAGTTCTTATTTTAAATTACCAGTTTCTAATGAAAGGACTGTACATTTTGTGTTGCAGGCCCCTACTCCTGATTTTATGATTTCTTCTAGTCGTCTCACGCATGAATTTGACGGAGACGGAGGAGCATCACCAGTGATTATGTCTAAGGAGCTTAGTGCATTGCAAAGGAAATTGAAACCACACTTGTTAGGTACGGGCTGAAGGAGAACATTGGGTCTAGCCAACAATAATAAACAAATACACTGCTTAGGTGGCAACTCAAGGAGAGTTCGTTCCTTTCTTTTTCTTTTTACTTTTACATTCATACTGTAGTTAAGTTTTGGTTATTTTTCTTTGCATTATCTTTTTGTTGAGTACTTTCAGGCTTCTAATCCTTCTGGCTTATGTTAATTCACTGCAATACTCAAGTGATACATTTCCTTCTCTTCATTTGGCACTTATATTTATGCATTGAGGACAATGCAAAATTTGGTTGGTCAGAGGATTAATTTGGATTTTGTTGTGAATAGCATATGATTATTTTGTTGTGAATTGCATATGATTTTGATTTGCATAATTATCATGGAATTATGTTGTGATTTCTTTAAAATTAAAAAAAAAAAGTGAAAAAAAAAAGTTTTTGTTGAAGTCTTTGATTTCCTGCATGTTTATGCTTTTGAATGACAAAATATGCTACTAGGAGTTAATTTTGTTCATGAGAATCTATATGTCATGACAATTGCTGAATTATTTTTGTGCACAGAAGCCTTGTGGTAAGATGGTAGTTTAACAAATGTCGCTAGAGCAAGATGGTAGTTTAACACATATAGCTAGAGGAGTCTCTTGCTGAAGTTTTCTTGTGAGAGAATTGGTGAGGATTGAGAGCCACTATATACTAAAAAATGGCAATAAGTGCTCATTGGTCCTGTGAATTGAAAACTCTTTTGAGAATAACACTATATGGTTTGTGGATTACTTGGAAAATGATGA